GATTTATTAATGACAGACATTTATATGATGCTGGAGATTTAAATATAAAATATCAACTACTTGAATTGGAATTAATTCCTAAGATAATGAGAGAAAACAGGAATCAGACTCTGGTTTCTCTTAAAAGTTTATTTCACTTTGTTTTTCATCCTTAAAGGGCGACTCAACATTTATATGTTCAGTTGCAGATTAACATGTTTTGTTTGGCGGTTTAGTCAAACTTAATAAAAGAAAAGAAGGTCCAGATTAACCTTACTTCAAGTCTGGGAAGCTAAAGCCTGGATTAAATTTCCTGATGGTTAAAATATGAGAAAGGTACTTTAAAGGAACTCTACTGCGTTGTTTGCAGTGTTTCATGCGCTTCATGATTTCCACGCTGGTGTTTCTTTTTTAAATCAATTTTTTTATGTTCATATTTGTGTTGATGTTGTGGCAGCTGCTGCTTTCCGTTTGTTTTGTGGGTTTTTTTTATGGGATAAGTTTAGATTTATGTTGTATTTCCATTTGAAGCTGTTATGGACTGAGACTAAAAGGAAACGCCTCTCTGGATTAAAAATAAATCTTGAGTTTACAGCGCTGTTGCCTTAATGAATGACCCATGTGCTCGTTTCAGCTTCCCTCTGCTTGTAGAAGAGCTGAACACAAACCGTTTCCATAGCAACAGATTGCATCCTGGTTGTTTTGTGCGACTGGAGCGAGCCGCCGTGCGCAGCTCGTCTGAGGCCCGTACCACGAAGCAAACGCAGCCTGGCGGGATTATTTCCAGTTTAACCAGTCTGCGGCAGTGGTGATCAGGATCAGCGGGATCGCTCACGTCTAAAGGGGCGGGTTCAAGGTAGCAGACCAATCACAAACGAGAGCAGAAAGGAGAGCGCGGTATTTATCCTGAGGGGAACAAAAACTCATCTTACAGAAATATGAAGAGGAAAAGAAAAGTTCTGAATGAAAAGTCAAACATGGTGGTGGAATCCCAAACCGCTAACCCTTAACTAACAAGTGTCGCTCGCAATAAAGCTAAACTCACAGCTGTGGAACACCTGGATTGTACTTGAGGGGAGTTTAAGCGTGAATGGGACGGCCTCTTCCCTCCAATGGAAAGGGAAGGTATTCGTTACTATGGCAACACAGTGACACCTCTGTGACGCATAAAATCAAACATTTGCCTCTTAAAATAGAAATAAATTTTCATAAACTAACTCATGATTTTCTGACGGTGTGACGAAGATGCAGCGGAATTTACGTTTGGAGGAACGCGTTTTCCCCGCCACTAGTTCGCCGTTACACCTGCTGACCAAATTCCAGCAAGCCTGCACTGATGGAGAGTCACTATTTAGGGGCTGAACGGTCCGCTCGCCCTGCCCACTGCAGGGTTTGGGACGGCACTTAATGAGGCGGACACTGCATCTCTGCTTTTTAAAATTTGAAAGTCCTTAAATGCCACCCTAAATGTATTTTCTTAAACATAGCATTATTTATTTTTTTTACCTGGCGGTTTATTATGAATCCCTCATCCATGCACCGTCAGCGTTACATGGCCTCATTCATGCTGTTAAAGCACACAAGAAAAATCTATATTTGTCAGAATGTGAATGAATTTTCACAGATATGCAGGTAGTGACTCACCTGGGAGGACATATCTCCTTCTTTTATAGGATGTTCAGCCAAAGGGCGGCACTCCTGCTGGTCACAGTAAACACGTGGTTCTAGGATCTGGCATCTATCTGCCAGTCCAGCCTATAAAACCCTTTATCGCTCCTATTGGTCCAAATGAACTTCTACAAATTAGCGCTCATTTTATTTTTATTTAGCTTCACATAAAAAATTATAGAAGAAACAAGTGAATTCCAGCTGTGTATGGGGACGTCATGCAGGAGGAATAGTATGTGTGTATATATGTGTATATAAAGTGAGTGTTTTGCGTCAAAAGAAGGCAAAGGAAAAATAAAATGTTTGAACTTATTTTATTTCTAAATTCCTTTATTGTGTTTTAAGTTATAATGGCCGATTGGCTGCTGGACGGAGCGTTTTTATTGGATTCAGATCAAACCTGAATGCTAGCTGTTAAGAGTACGTTTCCATAGTAACTATAGCCTAAGAATAAATCCAGCTGAAGTTTTCTCGCTAACCCAGTAATCCTGCTTCGTGGTTCAGGCCTCTGAGTTTCAAAGTGTTTCCAATCTGTGTTTAATAAACTGATTCAAACAGCTGCTTGTCATGTGGTTCATAAAGATGCTCGCTGGTTTATTTGACCAAATCACAGAAAAGCACCAATTAGCACATTTTTTATTCCTGTTTATTGTGATGCTTAAATCCACTTCCTGGTTCTGGACCAATAATGTTAAAGCTGCGTCCTTAGGGGGAAATACTGATTTTTAAACTTCAAAATAAATAAGGAAAAGCTTTTTGGAGAATGTGTTCATATTAGCAGCCTTAAGGTGATTGAAGTTTGGTTGAAATTTAGAAACCGTTGAGCTCCAGATTTATGGCTACAGCTGTGATGTTAAACCAGGGAACGTCACAGCTACCTCTGTTCAAGGTAATGTCTCATTTAATCTGGAAATTATATTTTCTGACTCAGGATCAGTGGGACGTCTGACCATCTACCAGGAAACTTCATGCTTCTGCTAATAAAACACTTTCAGAGGACTCCATGTCTCAGCAGGACTTGGACGCTGACCAGACGACACAAGCAGCACCTGAAGGCAGCATCTGTGCGGAGTGAATGTTTCATTATTGCTTCAAAGAATAGCTTTGGAAAGTAAAATTAGAAAGAAATGCAATCCAGAGATTCTTCTAAATTCCTTACGGATATTTTTTACTTTGTTTAAACGGTATATTTTGGTATTTTTTTTATTTTATTTTAATGGACAGAAAAGAGAGGAAGAAAAAAAAAAAGGCATCGATGAACATTTAAACTCTAGTTTACTGAGTCCAGACCACTGGGAAGGAAACTGGTCTGCAGAGGTAAACGCTGCCACCTACTGGCTGAAAGGTGTTTTTCTTTGGGCTTTAAAGACGCTCAGTGAGCAGGTTTACCCATCAGTCTGACAAAGGTTCATCTTTAATTTATTAATGACAGACATTTATATGATTCTGGATATTTAAATATAAAATATCAACTACTTGAATTGGAATTAATTCCTAAGATAATGAGAGAAAACAGGAATCAGACTCTGGTTTCTCTTAAAAGTTTATTTCACTTTCATCCTCTTAAGTTTTAAGACGAGAATAAAGTTGTAATATAACGAGAATGAAATCATACCACAGCCTGTTTCAGATAGACGGCCAATCAGCAACCTGAGTCCACTTTGATGCAGGTGCTGAAAGTTTTCCTTATTTGTCAAACCAAAGTATAACTTCATAATGCTGGACATTCCTCATTTTAGGGAAGAAAGTGATACTTGTAGGAGTTTTACGTCATTCTCGTAATTTTTTTTGACTATTCTCCACTTTTTTCTCATATTACTTTATTCTTGTAATAGAAGAAAAAAAAAAGTCTAACCTGGCCATAATACTCCGTCGTTATTCCTGTCTGGAGCGAGGGAACACATTGGTATTAGTGTACGTGGATTCATGTGATCCGTAAAAATTAATTTTAAAAAGAGGATGAAAAATTTGTTTGAAAAACCGAAGGGTTTTAAGAGTAACTTTGCTTATTTTCTCAGGGTTTTTTTTTTTTTTTGGTAAAACCTTATTTTTCCTAAAGTTTAATTCATCTGTTTCATTTTCACCGTATTTCTATTCACAAAACATTAAATGCATCAATAATGGAATAAAATTCACTCCATACATCTAAAGCAAAAAAGCATTTTTTTATATAATTAAGTGAATTTAAGAGCTTTAGCAGCTCTGAGCCAGAACAAACAAACAGTTTGATCTAAGACTGAATTTTTATTAAATAAGTTACATAAGAAACAAACAAGAAGTCGAGTTTCTTCCTTATTATTTATTGAAAACCCAGCAGTCGTCATTAATACCTGTGGTGTCTGTACAGGCATGGGGGGGTAAGGACGTATGGTAAACTAAAGCGGCTGTCATTCTGTTGTCAAGAAAAGAAAGACAAAAAATATATATAAAGATATGCTACAGAATGACCCTCTTATTGAAACACTGCTTTTTAAAAATGTTACATAGATGCAGAGGAAGGGGAGGAGAAGAAAAGTACAACAGCAGTTCAAGAGATTAAAGAGGAAAATAAATGTTTGGGGCGTTTCATTTTTAAATGGCTTTCCTTCTCTGCCAAGTGTCGCTTCTTATTCGACGTGAAAAGCCAAAAGGAAACGATGGCGTCTCCGTCCGTCAGTCTTCATCGTTTCTTTGGAGGTTGGGCTGTGCGGGGAGGAGTGACGGGCCGGCCGGAGTTCATCCCGCCGTACTGGTACTTTGCTTTCTTCTCAGACGGCTTCAGGATCTGGGAGCACAAAGAGTCAACTCGGTTATTACATGTTGCACTGGAGTCATTAAACCATCTCCATGGTGACAGACCTGAACTCTAAAACATGTTTATTAATGGTTTTTTTTATATAATGTTAATATCAAAAGCTCTAGACATAAACTGCAACTATTTAAAGCCTTCAAACATCAAAACATTACATGAACTGAATGGGTTTCACTGCAAAGTAGTTTGATTTATTGAATTAAAAGAAAAGGATTCATAGGTTTAATTATTTTCCCCAAAAACATCTGCAAAGCTGGTATTGCATGAATAAAAGAAAAGTAATCAACTTTTCTCGGCTAGTCAGATTTTTGCTTATTTTTCTCTCCAAAAAGATTCAAAGTCCAGCTGATTAGCAAGCATCCAACGTTGATGACGTCCCAGGCTTTAACTAGGCCTTTTTAACATGGATAGGCTTTGATAGGAGGCAGACCTTTGCCTCGTCAATCTCCTCTCCTGTGGAACCAACTACCAGTTTTAAGGCCTGAACGAACCATTTGAATAGTTTTTCTACTTTTTAATCTGGTGTGATCATCCACACTGACTTTCAATGAGCGCTAAACGCCACTACCTCGTCCAAAACGTTTTTCTGTCGGATCGGACGCCATATCAGATTTGTGCGTTCTGTTCGTTCTTAGTATGCTTCAGACACCCTATCTTTTAAGACTAGGCTTCAACTGTTTGCTTTATCAAAGAGGAAAGTTAAGAGCGGCACAGGTTATATTATGTCTCTGCTTCTGTCTCCTTGCTCAGTCTGGTTCTGCTGGAGGTTTCTTCCTGTTAAAAGGAGTTTTTTCTCTCCACTGTCGCTACAAGCATGCTAGGTGTAATGAATTGCCTTCTAGTCAATGAGTCACTGCAATTAGCTGGTGCCTTGAGATGACGTGTTGTGAATTGGCACTATATAAATAAACTGAATAGAATTGAGCCATCTGTATAGTTTTGCTGCTATAGGTCTAGACTGCTGGAGGACATGGGGACCTCTTTTTCTCTGCTGTATTCCACCTCTATTCAACTTTTAATTTAGTGCTTTCTCATGATAGTAGCTTTATATGGCATGTCGCTCTGTCTAGCTTTGATGCTGTTGTGTCACTATAGGTATGGTGTGTAGTGTAGTTTTCCTCTACACATGGCTTCTCAAATGTGTCCGACCTTCCCCCAAAGCTAGCGGAAAACTTCCCCAGGTTTACATGATGTCCAGATCTGGACGGGTTCAGAGAAGCGCCAGACCTACTACCAAAGGTAACGCCCACCAGGACCATGCAGTGTTTGTCTTAATATCATCAACAAGACGTCTTAAGCCGGCCATACACTGCATGATTTTTTGCCTTTTTCAGGCTGCCTCTCCAGTCGTGTGAGAATTTTTCGATCGGGCCGACTTTCAGCCTCGTCCTGCGTTGTGTGTAGTGTACAGGGGGGTAACGAGGGGCGATTAGCCTCTCGACCACCTCCCGATTAGGAACCATAAGGTCGGGAGAAAATCAAACATGTTTGAAATTTAGTTGGCTGTTGTAAGGTCGCATCAGAGCGTCAGGCTGCACAGTGTGAGCCCACGCTTTATGAGCTGGGAACTTTTAAAGTGTGAGCTGTAGCTGCGTGCAAAGGCTGAAAATATCGCACAGCGTATGCCCGACTTTAGGAACATTACGAAAGTCCCCTTCTAAAACCTGTGAATGCAAGTAACCAGATTTTTACAGCAGTCAACAAAAACTTTTTGAAATATTCAGCCTGGAAAAAAGAAAAAAAAAAAGTCTAATTGAATCTCCTTCCACTTTGCAATCATGATCTATTCTGCGTTTGTTTATGAGATGAACTCCTTAAATGCATTGAAGTTGGTCGGACTGCGAGGTTTGGAGAGTATGAATACTTATAAGAGTGGGTTAAAAGCATTTTTAGACTTGAGCATTGAGCCCTCTTCTTTGAAATTTTAAAAGATTAAGTTTGCTAGTTTGATTTACACCATTATAGGTTCGATTTTTTAAACCAGGAACAATAACCTCTTAAGTTTTAAGACGAGAATCTTGCAAAAATCAAACCATTGCAGAAGTCAATGCATATTTTTACAGGGTTTATACATGAATCAGTAATTATTTTTTAATGCTTTTTAACGCTCTTAGAAATAATTTTAATGCCATCAACAAGGACCCATAACATATATATACACACGGCAAAATCCTTCGTCATCTTCACTGTGGACAGGCTGCAGCCATGTCCAGAGATCCTCCTTTTCCCGCCACTTTGGTTCAAATTTGCCTTTTTCCCCCCATTCTCTAGCTTTTTCTCCGCCTCAAGTTTTCTTTTCCGAAGCATTTTAATGCCACAATTATCAAATTTAGTGAATTTTAATGCCAATTAAGGCCTTAATTTAAAAAAATAATAATTTAATGATTTTTAATGACCAGCAGAAACCCTGTTATAACTATAAATGTAGTTAAGCGTCAGCTGCTGGGATGTGTGATCGGATCAGATCCAGGATCAGTTTAGAGGTGCTGCTATGGCTTCAGACCTGGAAGGAGCACATCAGGGTTTCATCCACGCTCATCATGCCGCCGGCGTTGTCAAACTCTCCACAGTAGTTGGGAGCTGAGAACAGGGTCACCAGCTGTCGCTTGGCAAAGAACTCATACCCATCTTCTACCACCTGGGGGCGTCAGATACAACAGAGTGAACTTAGACCTTTGCAGAGGAAACCTTTCAGTGGCGACATGTTTCACGCAGAGAGATAGAGTGGTACCTGGTGAGCTCTACAGATCAGGTCTAAATCGTGACGGTTCAGGAACTTGCTGACCACATCTGCCCCGAAAGTGAAGGAGACTCCGCGGTCGTTCTCTCCCCAGCCTTGCACGTCCTTATCTGGGTCAGACCACAGCAGATCGCACAGAAGGCCTGCAAGAAACGGTAATGGAAAACATCTGTCAGGAGAGGAGAGAGCTTAAGGTAGGAGCTTATCACCCCCTCATGGCGTCTCATATTCAGAGACTTCATCATGAAAGACCATAAGAGGATGTGAGAGACAGCGACTGCCAGGATCTAAACACTGGCAACCTTATAAGGACGAGAACAGGAAGGGAACGCCAACTCTGCTCCCACTGAGCTGAGGTAGGGGTGGAAATGATGCCTGATGCTGCTCTGATAGGAGCAACTCATTCCTCCCCTCAACAACTGAGCATTTAGCAAAGTAAAAAAGATGGAAAAGTTTGAAAAGCTTCTAGATAGAGTGACTCAGGTTACCCAGAGCCTTCTCTGTAGTTATGCTGCTATAGGCTTAGGCTGCTGGAAGACCAGAAGATTTATAAATCGGTTATTATTAGGGATGCACGATATAATCGGCCCCCTATCGGTATCGGCCTTAAAACTGAATATCGGCCATCGGCCACCCCACTGATATTTAACCCGATATTTGATCAGCTTCTGAGTTTCTAAAGTCTAAAAAAAATAACACACTACTTCTTCTTCTTCTTCCTCAAAAACTTCTTTTTTACAGACTTAAAAACTTCTAAAGACGAGGGAAAAAATATTGATACATTAAAAT